TCTCTACTATAAAAAATACTTTTAAAACCTTCTGCTGACCTGAGCAAACAAAGAAGAAAATATTTATCGGAATCGGTGTAGCCGTTCACGCGCGATGCCATGACCTGGGAAATTGGGATTTGTTCTTATACATACCTATAACACATATATCTAGAATTGGCCAGATAATCCGTGGCTAACCTGTACACTGTTTAATAAATAACCACTGCTCTACTACTGAGTATACTTTAAAAAGTTATATATGTATATAGATATTTGCTTCCATCTTTCGATTTTTCCAAGATTACGGGCCCGATTTGCGTGTTTTTTTTAGATGAAGGAAGTTCTTTCTATCTTTGCCCATATAGTTTGTTTGAAATTCAGGGACCTTTAGAAATACAAGAAACTGAACAGCAAATATTATTTAGGACTTCTCTCGCATAGGCAAAAAAAAATTATTACATTTAAGTAAAAATAAATTTAAAGCATTGGTTTTGTCACTAGATGATAAATTAATAAAGATACGCTTTTAATGTGTGTGACAATAGAATTAATAACAAACATGGTTAATTAATAAAAAACATATGGTTTTAACCCGGATTACCAAAACAACCAGCAGTGCGGTTCGCAACATTTTTTATCATGGTCTTAGAGAAAATGATCAAGTAAAAAAATCCTTTTATTTTTTATAACATACAACAACATACCTATATATATGAAAAGGAGAGTTTTTAAAATCAAGGACCCACAAACAAAAAATCCCTTTGTTTCAAATTCACTTCTGAATTTCTAAAATGTATGATGACCTTTGTATTATGATAATATATATTTAATTTAAGAATGGGCCTCACAATAAAACTAAATAAAAGCTTGTAACAAGGAAAGCTAAGGCCAAAGGAAGAGACAAAAGTTTTAACAAAAACAAACCGCTTCAAAAAGTAAGAAATAATTTCAGATTTAAAAGTCAGCAGCAAAAAAGAGGCAATTAAAACCAAAGCCAACGACTTCCGAATTTGAAGTTTTTTTTTTTGTTTTTCGTAGGCGTTTTTCTTTTAAGCCAAACCAAAAGCAAATTCTATGTTCTTCAACTAAAAGTCATAAAGTTGTTCCATTTATAAAATTCAAATTTTATTAATATGGCTCTTTAATTTTTACTGCACTCGCCAATTCAATGTATTTTTATAATGAGTTTTTAGGCATACTTAATGCTGTTTCATAATGTCTAAATAGCCGCTATGTATCAGATAAATGTGAACATAGAAAGTTATTTGTATGAACTATGACATAAGTTTTTCGGTAACCTTTATAAATGACAGTTAAACAGGCACTTATAATTTTATAATGTGTCACTCATACTGATGAGGTCTCAAATTCAAATTTTGATTCAGTAATAGTATTAAATAGGGTCTAGAATTTTGGTTAATATTTTCAATAGGTTCGCCCAGCATTAAGTTATTAGGATTTAGTATACATATTATAATGTGTAGTATCTTTGTGCCTACCATTTCTGAAGATGTTACGTGTTATGTATCAATCAAGGGTGATATTATGCAATAGACATCATTCGGTATTCAGGTACTGTTTAGGCTCATCAGCATGATTGATTGGACGACAAATCCTGTTCTGCAGCATACAATCATAAGGTGGATATAGCTTGAACAAGCTTTCAATACGCTCAGAAACATATTATTTATACAAATGTTCTCGTATTTGAAAGATACACAATCATCTTTTGTGTCTCTGTTTAAGTATGATAATTGTCAAATAATATTTTCCTAAAATATTATTTAGGATTTTATATAAGTACACCACGCGTTCTAATTATTGTGTGAAAATAAGTAGGTCTTAAATTAATACTAAGTAATAGGGATGAGCGCATAATACAATATAATTCTCTGTGGTAACACGAAGTAACAAATATGTTTCAATGGAATAAATTGTTGCAATTCACGCTTTACAAAATATTATATCGTGTCCCAGCCGGCATCAGCGTGTGGCTGGATGCTCGACCACAATTCGGAACTCTTCGCGCAGGCCATGAAACGTAAAGCAATAACCGAATCGCAAATATACGGCCATGCTGGAACTGCGAATATTTAATTAGTAGACCATCAGTACATTCCTGATTATTTAATTAACAACTGTTAATAGGCACCTGTACATGTATCCTGCTAATTAAATAGTTTATTAACTCGGGTTGTTTATAAGCTGTAACGGTTCAATGGGTTTAGATTAAAGGCACACCGTTAGTCTATGGATTAAGATCGGATTAGTTTAATAACTATAATAACATGTTTGTAATTTCATAAGAATTTTTCAAAGCAATGAGGGTAGTAAAAATAAGCTACTTCGGAAATATTAAGACGGTCTTTCTTTCTTTTTTCACAATTACGTTAAGACCAGCATCGAGACAATCAGATTCGGTTCAATATCAGTATTTTTCCTCAAGACACAGTCGTAGCGATCCAGAACAATCAATAATCATTTATTCAGAAGAGAAGTTTATTTTATAATCTATAACGCCTTAAGAATTAATGTTGATAATCGCCATTTATGAATAAATCTTTTTCTAATAGAGCAATCACTTGTTACAAGCCAGCGGCCTAACAATAAACTCTCCGTCAGTTTTATCAACTACAGTAAAATTGCTCGAGATTGGAAAATAAACGAATTAATTTATACAAAACTGTCAATTAAAGTCCGCTTTACAATAGCTATTGATCGTGGCTTACTTGATCATAAAAGATTTTAAATAATAAAATTTGAATATTTTCTTGACTTTTTAAAAAATGTCTTCATCTTGCTCATATTTACACTATGTACTCTCCTGGTGATTTTAACAATTATTTTATGTATATAAACTACATACTAAGTGCTGACGATAATATATAGTATAAAATATGTACTTAACCAATTTGGTGTATTTAATGGGATGTTATAACAATTGTTTTCAATGTGACAAAAGTAAATGATAAAACCTAAATAGTCAGTTACACATACAACATTCCTATGCGAAACAACAAACAGTTACAAAACGCACTAGCTACGGACAATCAAAAGAAAAAGAGCGAGATTTTTCAAAGATATATCTCAGCCGAAAGGCGTCGTGTATCATTTCGAACTTACTCTAGCTTACTTGAATAATGGTAGCTAGCCTCGAATCCGTTTTGAATCCGTATAACATTACATTTTTGAAAGTACCATGCCATTTTCATATATCGAAAAATATGTAAGTGCCAACTGCTGAGCAAAATCCTCTTCTTACACGAAGAAGGTTTGAGCAATCATCAGCACACTTGCGCAAGGCAGATTGGCGATTTCAAACTTATAATTAGAAACTATAAGTCCCAGTTGTCAGTAGTGTCTAAAAATCTTAGAAAGAACGGGCCACCACGACGTTTAATCAGTTAAATTCAATCTGGTTGCAATTCAAGCTACTTAAGCCTTTTACAAGTAATGAGGAACAATGTTGAATGAAATTTTATTATTCCTCTTTTTCCTGCTCAATCTGTCTAACGAACTAGTTTTAAATATCTCCGCTGCCATTGTTTTCAATCTCATGCCGTCCTAATCCGTGATTGGTGCAAATGATGCAAACCACAGCGTCGGCATCTGCGTCCAGAATTCGATAATCTTCGTCGACGTATTCGTAATAATAGTGGTCCATTCGCTCCTGTTACGGTTGATATCGAGTATGTGGTTATTGGACCAAATGTGGTAGGCTCTCGCTGGCACAGTCGTACAGTTTGCTAATTTCCGGTGCTTTCAAAACATCTCGATCGTTCGCGTTCAAGTTGAGCGCGATGATTGATTATGATTGATTTTACGAACAAAATACTTAACAATCATTTATATTATGAAACAGCGACGTGCTTAAGTCTGTGTTCCTCGATCTTCACAAAATGAAGAAAAGAAGCCACTGGCGAAATGTTTGTTTCTTTTATTTCCAAATATATCTTTTATAGCAATGTATTGATTGATGCTCATCAATGTTTATTTATAGAATGCTACATGTGTTACGTTCTGTCAGTATTGATGTATTGCGTTAAATATTTTCAGACCGAATGTTAGTATTTGGCAAATAAAAATCTAAACTGGCCGTCAGAGAAAAATGTATGCAAGTTAATCAATCTCCGAGATGTCATTGTGTCAATGACCTAATAAGGTCTGCGAGTCACAATTTAATTTAAATGTGTAACGTCTCATTTCGCACAACGCCACGCTGTCTGAGACTTTAATCTGTCAATACTTGTGAGCGCTATCAGTTAAATTGAAGCCCTCATAAGAGTGAACAGCGTGACATAGGAGCGAGCGCCATAAATGTATGTACATATATAGTTTAACGACCTAGCACTTTACATGATTGATTAGATACTTCATTGATAACATCAACTTTTTCTTACAAAAACCTTTTTCACTTACATGGAATGAAAAGTTAATGGATGTTAACGTTTAATTAAACTTTATGCGAGAGCTAATTAGATGCTTAAAGATTATAGAAGTACCTTCTTATATCCGTTCTAACTTACTTGTAATTTAACACACGGTACATAACAGTGAAATCAACGAAACGTACGTAATTACCTTCCACGATAAAAACTCCTGAGGATTATGGCCACAAAGGAGGATTGAATAAATATCGATAGAAATACAATTCCTTTTATACGAGTGATTTATGGGATCTGATTTGAAATACATAAGGAGGGAGACAGAGGGGCGCCTGGCCAAGGTAGCGGACTGGGGAGAAGGTGTGTATACGACACTTGCTACATTATATACCCATTATCACCACTTTCTAACGATTCTAACTGAGCTACGTATCTGAAATAACTGAGTCGCATTTTTAGGCGCTGATTCAATTCACATCTATTTAAATTCCAAATGCGTCCACACTGCACCCTCGTCTGTCTTCGATGTAGGTCAGACTGGTGGCTATGCATGTCAAAGGCCATTGTCAAGCAGACTGCTAGCAGCAGGCGGTCTGCAGAACAGCGGCTGCTGAGGACCAATGCAACACTTACGACGTCGATGAGTTGACTGAGTTTGAGTTTGATGCAGACTCGCAGCACGTCGGTGGTGTTGACGACGGGTCGCACGAGCTTGTTGTAGTTGGAGAGGAGGTCATCGTAGAGTCGCTTGGCGTCGGGGTTGCCGGCGGTGGCGGCGCGGAGCAGGCAGGTGGCCGCCAGCCACCACACGATCGCGGCCATCAGCTCGGCGCGGGCATCGTTACGTAAAACTCGGGTACAGGGGCGGGTGGCCCGGGCGCGGCGCGTCGCTGACTGCCGCCCTGCGCGCCCCGAGGTTCCCCCGCGCGCCCCCTAGCAGCCCCAGCATACAATAATACAACAGAACTGACACTGTTTTGATATTCATCCAATAAAAAGGTGACAATTGTTTTGTTAACAATGCTCCGTTATTTACGACTTCCTGTAATATTCTTAAGTTATGTATCCTAACTGCAACATATAATATACCAGTGAACTTGTTTATTAATTTTAGGATTACTTAAGAACATCATACAATGGCAAATAAATAATTTAAGAGAGTAGTTTTCTGAAACAGAATTACTAAGTTTAATGACATGAAAATACTAAAAGTGAATAAATTTTGGATGTTTACTGCCAAAAAACTTTCATTGGCAGTCTTTGATAGAGATCAGTTGATAGTCTATGTGCATTTGTCAATATTCTGGCCTATCTCATTTATTATCTATGATTTTAAAGTTTACATCAAAAAGCTTTTGAACAGCAGAGTTAAGAACGGCGAGTGAGTCCCGGGGGGCGCGCGACAGTCGTGTGCCTGTCTGATCTGTGTCCGCATCCCACAGCCTCCCTCTACGAGTATAAATACGCGAGTCGATAGCGCATCGCATTCATCTGACCGGTGTTCCCAACGCTTACAACACAAACCTTTTACCACTTAAGTAACAAACTACTTCGGATAATGCGGGCTCACTTAATGCACCAGCCTGCAACTTATAACATTCTGTAAAGTTTGCCCCATACTTACTTTACAGGTCTGCAACAAACTCCGCTATGTAGGACAAGGCTAAGGCTAATCAAGTTTACAATCGATAATTTATTTGATAATTTTATGCGTGATGTACATTATTATTATTATTAAGAAAGATTTAACTACTTGGTAATAAACAGCACAGATTGAATCCCTGTAAACATCTTAATTTACGATGCTATTGGCTAGAATTTAATTACTAGCGACCAGGATTTCCATGGAGCGATATAAATATGATATTTATGAGAATTGTTCGGGGCCATGGTATTACGAAGCGTTATGATAAACGTGTAATTCGCCACATAAATTATGAGACGTAGCCGCGTGCTTTCGCCACGGTGCGGCGCGGCGTGCCAACGTAAAATACTTTGTAATAATAATAAACACGCCCTCGTTTTATTATCCCCGTTTTTTAATCGTTATAAACTGAAATACGATACGTTTCTTTGATGCTGCAACCGCTCTCATCTTCATTGAATCACCTGTATCGGAATATTCTTAATGAGAAATTCCGTTCTCAAATCAACGCTGTTCAAAAGGACCGCAGGTAATTAATTAGGAAGGAATCCGATAAAGTTTGTTTTATTCAATGTTATCAATATTAAAGTACTCATAATATTGATTGAAAAACTTTTGACTTAAATGATTATTTTTTAGTAATTAACATTAACGAATTATACATGCATAGGTAAAAGCTGAGTTATAATTAAAATGTAAATCAATAAATATTATTCAAAATAATTTACCACAACAATAAACATGTACTATAAGGACAGAGTTAGTAGACAATGAACTGGTTTGACATGACTAAACATCAATATTCACACAATATTCGAAGATAAGTTACACACGTCAGTCATAATCTTGAGTTTTTGGAGAAGGTAAAAAGGGTCGTTGGATTCACCGTATCCTTCGGATCCGACGCCTTCGGAGCATAAATCAAAATTACATGAAAAACATCTTAGATTCATAACTGCGGTCTTTCCTTGCTAGACAAAAGTTTTCACTTCGTTTGATACATTATTGTGTGTAAACAAACGGATAAATGGAAAACTTCAATACGGTGGACATTTGATGAGAAAATTCTTTTTGCAAACGTACTGGCGTGCTAACATTTTATGAGGTTTTAAATCGTAGTTGGTAGTTCATTTTAAAAACGTACTCACTCCACCTCCGTATTTAAAATAAACGACCTGAAACAGCGTTTACAATACTCCTTTCAAACTGTTATCGGAAAACAGCACGCAATATTGAATTTACACCGAAATTTCACAAGGAAACGTATCTATTTATTATATATAAAAAGGACATAATTAAATGTCGGTTTCTGATATTTATCAGCAATGCCCATAGAAATACGCGGAGCTCAACAAATAATTTTGAGTTCATTATTTAAATTTTATTCCGTGTTATAGCGCTCGTGCGGTGAAACAAGAAATTACTAAAGTAACAATAGCTTCGTTTACAATATTTACCAAAAAAATGCAATGCCTTGTGATATTAAAACACTTTGTGCTCAAGACGAAGAGAGAGTCAGGCTTCTCGTTCAATCCTTGTTATTTCAGCTATTTAGAAACTTTACAAAATAGGTACTCCATTTTTACCATAACTTATTTATACCTAATATTAACCAATACCAGTACCCGTATACCTAATTTAGAGTGATAACAAAAAAAAATGTTACCGATAATCCTCTTTCCATTTTACGAAACCATATTGTAGTGACATGTATTCACAGAAGCTTAAAATATTAGCCGGATTTTGCCCAAAAAACTCATTATCACACGATTGGGAACACTTACTCTCGTCTCAATCAGGGAGGCTAAGGCAAAAAGCATTTGATAAGAGGGTAGAAGCCAAGGGGTTTTGAGGGCTCTATAAAGAGTCAAAGCGTTTTCCCCGCCCGTGTACCTATAGACATGTGGTATAAAAATGTTATGGAGTGCTCGACTTCTTGCTTGCAACAACGTTTTAAGGAATTTGCGTTTAAGAAATGTTATAGAAGACAATCATAGTTTATTGTCTGCAGCAATAACGTATAAAGCTTTTTTCCTTGTAATTTACCCTCGAGTAGGTAGTATACTATTTTCTCATGGTTACTGCAATTTGTATTGTGAGATCTCCCTGGTAGGACAATTTGAGGACTTTTATGTCAAGGCCGGTCGTGCGCCGCCATGTTTTCGGATGTCTCTCGCTTTGTTTTTCTTTCTTCAAAGAAAATAATTAGTAGCTCTATACACTGTACACAGTGTCATATTTTTACTTACAGTTTGTTTACAACTGATTTTTATTGTTGTCACAGTATTATTTTATCCGATGTACGACAACAGATGTACAAAACTGAAAAATAAGCTCTTATATTTTTTACAGCTCCTACAATTTTTTATATAGTTTTACGTAATCCTTTTGTCAATAGATAAACCCTTTGTGATACAATAGATGCATGCTACCATTTGGAAACTGCGTTATGTGCCTAAGTTCGCAAGACATATTAGTTAATAAAAAAGTAAAATGCACCAATCTTACGCTATAAGATAATAAAGAATAACATGTAATCAATACCATTTTTAAACGTTGCATTTTGGTAGATACGCCTTCTTTTTAAAACATCAGTTTAATTGGTTTCACTCCACCAATAGAAACTCCAGCGTAATAGTAAAATTTCCTACTCACCGAACATAAGCTCAATATTCTTAAGAAACAGGTTTTATGTTACTTGATTTTGCATTACAGATTTTTTTGTTCAAAAATCGACCTGAGAGCAAGCTACAATATAGAGTGGTTCGGGTTAATCAAGTTTTGATTTTTTATTTTAGGATATTTATAAAATCAACTTCCTAAATCTTGAGTGTTATATGTATTTGTTTTTATTCATATTATATTTGTTTTTCGTATTAAAATATATGTTTCGGATTAATAATTTAAAAATACATTCAAGTTGAATATACTATACGAATCAGAAGGCTAAAGTGAAGTCTAACTAATCAACAATAGTGGTCCTATTCTCAGTTCTAAACTGGGTCGCGCTATCATTTCACTGCCTAGTCTTAGCATTTTATTTCAGAACATATAAATCCATACAGTTTTATTCCAGTTCAATTTGCTGAAGATTCGGATTGTTACATTGTAAAATGTATCTGACTTTCAATAGATATCCAATTAAGTGAAAAAAATGGCAGAACATTTTCTAAACCTCTGGGGAGCGGTGAACCCTCCAACCGAGGGGTTATACTCGTAATTACTATAATTGCCTAAATACTAATAACGAGCCTCTTAACAATTTAGCATTTTATTTTTTACACGGAATTTTATACGACCACTCAACAAATAATTATTTCACGCTCAAGTAAAACATTAAAAATAATTGCTTTTTATGCTACGTCAGAGACCCTTTGGGGTCACTCATGAGGCGGCGGACGAAAAAAAAGACAAAAACAAAATGTTGGTAATTCTAAAGTGGACTTCTACTGATGTGTTTCGACACACGCCTTTGAAAAAGCAAGGAGCCCACAAATTAATAATGAATTAAACATAAAATGGCTGGGAATTACGAGAGGCAACGCTTTCACCTCGGGACACCGCCGACATTCCGTTGACACTTGGCATTCATGCATTGTTTTCACTTTTATTTAACGTTGTTTCATATTTTATGAGCAAATAAGGCCGCGACTTAAAATAAGTGATTTTACTTTGATGTTGGATTAAGTTTAATATTAAGACTTTAATAAATTCTAATTGTACTCTAATTTATAGTCGTTGAAAGTGACTTGAAATATTTAGGTAAAGATCTAAATAAGCTTTTAATGTAAATTGTCATGAACTCTTTTTTATTATAAGAATAAGTGACACTTATATATTATAATTTTCAGACTAAATACTCGACTTCAAATAAGGTATTAAGCAAAATATTTTTATTCCTATAACACCAATTACCCGTATTCTCCATTAAAATATAGAGTACACAGAAATATCGCAAACTAATTATGACTTTTGGATAGCCTTATTAATCGCGTCGATAACGAAATATGTGACGTCGTACAATAACCACCTTAGTTCTAGAGCATAACCACATAATCAAGTTTCAGAGTAATTGAACGTTCTCAGTACAAATGTAAGTACACGTTTGTCATGTAACCACAACCGCTGTTCGTGCTTACACGGAATCAAACGATCAAAGGTACCTCGGCCGGATTAT